TCATTCAGTACCATACGTACACTTTCTCCGACTAACATCCTCCCTTTTCCTACCCCATCCCAGTCTCAGTTACATATCACTATGTACCAATTTGGATAATTTGTCAACGAATGGTGTCGTCCACCCCATCCCTGGGGACACGGGACCCTGGGAGACGACAACTGTACGTAAATGATGTACGTGTGATCTATGCGGGAGACGCATACAACAAAACAGTAGAAAATGAAAGTCGAGATCACTTCTCTCCCACGATGTGATTTGAATTTCACAACTTCGCGTGCATACACTAATACGTAATGCCCATCGTGTTACAAGTTGTTTGGGTTTACCTCTGTAGAAGTGGTGATTCATACCTACAAGTCTTGTAATTAGCTGTTATCGCAGTGATTTAAAAATGATAAATCACGTTTTACTACATCACATTTCGGTCACCTACACGACAAATAACCGGACGTCGATAGTTTACCATCCACGTGTCAAATATTGTACCTATCGGCACAAACAAACTACAGTAAAAAATAAACTAATAAAAATTTTCCTCTGGTGAATAACTGATGTGTGTGCGAGATCATTTATACATTATAATTAACAATGCACCCTCGCGGACCTAGCACGATACATGTACAATGTACACGTGAACCGTATCATTTCGCCAAAATGAACTCCCACAAATCTGTTCCATTTTTGCAGATCTAATTATACCTACAGTACTATTGATTATCTGATTGTACCTGATGTAGGCTTGCGTTATTACTTAATTAAATTGCTATCAGCCATGTTCACTTACCTGTACTTTTGTACTTTTAAAAAAATGCATACTTGCTAAAATTATAACAGCAAGTTGAGAGTCAGAAATATGCTGAATTGTGCCCATATTCTCATTACCCCAGGTGTTTTAGGAAGTCAGTCAAATCACATTGTTCTTCCGTCGAACACCATCAAATAAATATAAGCTCCCCTCGTTCCGTTAACTTAAAATTCTGGTACCACAGATACGGTGAAATCAGAATTATATAAATCCTTTTTATGTTTTGTAAACCATATATATATATAAGTAGCAAAAAGTCTTGTCAACCTGCCCGTAATTATATTTCATCAATTGATTATGTGAAAGTGAGGAGATTGTTTTTATAACTGGAAAGAAACTAAAATAAGTATGTTTCTCTCCCTCGTTTAATTCAATCAAGCTAGGTCGTGCGGGTGTAATGTTCAAATAACATTTGATACGGTATACAAATATTATATACAAAAGTCTGTTTGTATGGTTTCTTTATCAAATCTTACGAAATTATCTATAAGCATGTTCACATGCCTAAATACAGGCCTGTATTAAGAAACATTTCGTTTTGATTTCTCACTTTCTTTCTACTTTTCTGTTTCTTCTGTAAGTTTTGTAACTTTGTGAACTATGTTATGTACTGGTAGTTGTGAGGTCATAGTTCTACTGTACATTTGTATACCTGAATTATAGGGAGGACATTGATAAGTTGTGATAACTTGCGTCCGATCTATTTGTAAAAAGGTCGGAGTCTCACTTTAACGTGCAAGTGTTAAGTGACGGATCGTAAATCATTTCCGCGTTTTCTTAACTCCACAAATTGGAACTGGTGAATCGTGCGATTCGTCTGTCGTCACAAAAAAAACATTTGTTCGAAATACAAACGAGAGAGTTTACTAATAATTGAAGAGACTTCGTGTTAAGTTCTAGCTTCTTATAATATACAAAATTGTACAAGTGATATTCCACGTATCCTTTCGAACTAATTTCCAGATTTCGGTCGAAGTTTTGTTTAGGTTTGACTTCTCGTTGTAATGATGATGTGAATTACAAAATAATTACAGGAAGCAGGCATCACTTGTATCATTTCATTTTAACGTTTCTGGCCTTTTGTGGTGTATCATTATAAAATGTCGGGATTTGAAACAAATACAATTTATGCCATTAAATATCTAATAATTCTCTCACTGGTGTTTCTGATAGCCAATTAAGGTTTACATATTGACTGTGTATCGACCCTCGTTACTGTGTACGTTCTCGCTGGGCCCTGGGATATCGTCCTAACAACATACCTCAACAACCAGATTACCGCGAACAATGAAACTCTGCCGCTGATCTTTAACATAAAGTTTTAATACATGTGGGATTTAGTTTGATAGGGATGTAATTCCTCGGACACATACGCCGATACCATAGTACACATAAACATCCACCTCAAATACTTTTCATGGACGCGAGCTCTTGGGGAAATATTTTCAAACAAGCGATAGGAGAGTACAGAGATATGCAATGTTTACTTCAGCAGTAACGTCGGCCACACACCATTTATTTTCAGCCTTCTCACGACCATATTCTAGACGTGTGTAGTCATGGAGAATCAACTGACCGCTGGACACTTTTAATTCACATAAACACGGACAGGGATAAGCGAGCGTAATTTGTCTTGACCATTATTGAGGGTTGTAGGCCAATTTCGATGTGACTAGGGCCTCCTTCTACGACAATAGTGGAGATAATTCGCGCAGAGCACGATAACATCTGACACGCCAATTTGGCACTAGACACAAGCCTGGGTACAACTGTTGTAATGATAGGAACGGGGGAGACAATGTACATTGCGAGTCTAAGATGTGACACCCCCGGGAATATCTAAGTCTGTATTATCCTCCAGAGTACGTTTTGCAGTTGTTGGCAAAGACTTCGCTATTCCCCGGTAGTCAACCATTTTCATATCGCTCGCAACTGAGCGTATCACTAAAGCATTTACCAAAATCCATCACTACATCAAGCAGCGTTTGTTTTACAGGAGAAAGCGGAACATGTTATATGGGTCTGTAGATGAACATTTTTATCTGGTTACTGTACTTGGATCATAATTCTGTGATATTACATTGCACTCAAACGCTAAGATACTCGATCTACCATCTGAACAAATAAAAGGCGGCAGCATCAGAAAGCCACGCGATATTGATACGAGACCTAACGACATGCTTGTACTGTAACGTTAAATGTTGGATGCCAGAGCCCACGGGGCAGGTACACCGGACCATTACGGTTGTCGGACAAACTCCATAAACTACACACTCTGGCTTTGTACGGGGTTTTATGATACTGTAATTGACATAGAAAGTTAAACGTACCAAATGTCCGGTAATTACAGTGTTTCTAGGTATACAACTTTCCGAATTCTCGGACAAGGATATTGTCACTTCCATGGCAAGTCTGTCGATACTAACCCCAATAACACATTTTATAGGACTCGGTCATTGTAATTTACCAAACATCACGCAACATTTGATAACGTTAGACGGTTTAGTAGCGTGTCCAGTCAATAATTTGAACAGTATTACCTAGGAAAGCTGTTCTTAATACCTCGTAAAATCTGGATCAAACGGTAAAGCTTTTGTCTGGTTTAAATAATGCTAATTTATATCATGTAGGTCAGGAGAGTTCGGTGGTCTTACATGATACATCCTATAGGAAACAGGAACTTAAAAAATAGTATTTATTGCAATTTAACTGTGAAAGAATAAAAAAAAAGATCGTTTAAGATTTGTGTAGCGAGATTTCTGCTCTAACGGCGGTTACCGGCGATATAGAAATGATGCGAGAGCGGGTTTAGTTTTTGTCATGTCCTATTACTTAAGACATCTGTACACAATACCATGTGTACGATTGGGGGAAACAGCCTTCAGTTATTCCGTCAAGGGTTTTTGTATGTCAATGTTTTTTTGTATGTCAAGGTTTTATTTTCACCTGTGATGACTAACAGTTCTCTACAAGCTTTATATTGTCTTAAACATATATCTGGACTATTAACAACCAACTGTGACGGAAATTTTTACTTCTCTGTAGCAAATGATTGTTATATCTCTAAGTATCTTTGACATTCTTGATGAAGTTTTCCTATTATGTACGGAAGATTTAGAGAAACGACAAGGTCTAATTAATTTAATATTCGTGATGAAGTTTTTCTATTATGTACGGAAAATTTTGAGGAACGACAAGGTCTAATTAATTTAATTTTCGTGATGAATTTATTCTATTATGTACGGAGGATTTAGAGATATGACCAGGTTTAATAAATTTGATAATCGTGATGAAGTTTTTCTATTATGTACGATAGATTTAGAGGAATGACCAGGTTAATTAAACGTAAAACCCTCCGTCCTATATAGGCAGGCGTTAACGGGAGCTAAAAGTGAACATACTGTCAACCGTAAGAAAACTAATTTAATCTGTCGAAATTAATTAAAAGTTAAATCGCCCTAACCTGACCGTGTGATTACATAACTGCATGGCCTTGTTTAATGATCGCTGGCCGACCATATCCGTGGTATCGCCCAAGGCTTCTAAACTTAACAAATCTATGTGAAATTATCAGTACAGATATCCTTCTAACTCTTATCGGCTGGCATATTTACTCGTCAATTCAATTCTTTACACATCCATATTTTAACTTTCCATTCAGAGAGTGCAATATTTGCTTTGTTGTGTACGAGAATACCCCCGTTCCAACGATCCTTCGTAAAATGAGGCCCGATATGATTGAAAGGTTTAATCCGCGCACGAGATTACTTCATATCGCCATATCTCACAGGGAATCCTCGATTTAACGGTAAATGTTTTAATTAATATAGAACGGTGACAATTTCATGTTGGCCATTTCCGTCGAGAAATCATTGACGTATTGCGATAAACCGGTAATCGATTTCAATTAATCCATGTCCGGAATCAGAGTGATTAATATTATTGTGATGGTATATGGTCATCGGTATTGTATGGTGTTTCTTCACTTCTTTATTTGGTTTATTTAAAAGCCTCGATATATAGATAATCATTTTTAATGCTTCGTTTAAGTGCAATTTAAATATTTTTTTTTTGTCACAAAGACTTATTATCCGCACTTGAAAGTCTTATGACATATAAAGATGATGTGAATTATCCAGCGTCCATACCACTAGAGAGAATTATTTACTGATCATGTGACTTAAATCCTTACCGTGGGGGATCGGTTTAGGGAGTCTTCTTAAACCCTGGCACACCATGCTTCGGCCCAATGGGTTGGGCTCGTCCCCGCTGGTGCGTCCATCGAGACGTGCAGAACTCCAGTCTTCTATGACTCCCCTTGTACCTCGACTGTTGAGTGCCATGCAGCGGCATTGGGTGGGACATGTCCCCCAGATACTGGCACGGCCAGATCTCCGGGGATATGTGTTATATCCATCCACGAAAAGCACACACAATAAAGAAGCTAACATGCAAATTGAAACACATTTTTTCAAAGTCGACATGATAATTATATTAAATATTGTACTCCACACAATAAAATCCACTGGTCTCTCTACGTTTATATTAAATTAATATGTGTTTCCTTTCGGTTTTTGCTTTTTTCACACCTTCTGAATTAGTTTAAACTATAGCCAAGCCTATGTAGCGGTCATTGTCAAGCAGATGACAGTTGACAGATGTAAAATACTCCAAAATCTCGCCCAATCACTAGTGATAAGGCAGACTAGAACAGGGAACAATGACACATCCCTCTCTAATGCTGATGTTAGCTGGTAAAAAATCTCCGTCCAGATGTTCCACCATAAAGTATAAAGTGTGGAGTGTATATATATAAGTGTGCGCTCGTCCCTTGGATAGCTAAGCTATACCGGGTTACATAGTAAGACTACACACTACATACAGCGCTCTGCCCCGTACCAACGTACCGCCTTCCGCTCCACACCGTAGCGAATACGACTGCCCCTTTTTCACAGCAAAACCATCAGCGCGAGTCCGTGTTATGAAAGGCGCTTGTTGTCAATCATAGTCCACTGTACGCTTGAATGATTTCACATCTGTTATAATGCCGGATTTCTCTTATAATATTTACTGCTTTATAATACACACAGATCTATCCTTATCATACACACAGGCGGGTATCTCCTTAATCAAAAAAGGAAAATGTTTATTATAAATGTCCTTTTAGTATCCGATTTCCATTCATCTTCGCCTTTCATCTGCGGTAGAGAAAACTTCTGGTGACAATACATACGAAACATAACACTATACCTACCTTATATGAGAAAGGGGATTTGTTGAAGTAAAGATTAGAGACGCGAAACAACGTGTGGATTGGGTATTGACAGTTCTACCTGTATTTATGAATGGGTAATACTTTCAATACACTACACGACAGCGGTACACACGGGAGCAGGCTAAGTCTCCATTCATTATAGGTAAAAAGGCCCCGACAATACCGCTACAATCTCTAGGCGGGCAGATTGATATAAAAAAAGTTGAATGAACGTGTCCTGTTGGGTTTCGGATGACACGCTGCCTATATCTACTCAGCGTAATCAGACTATTGTGCAGCGAGAAAACAAGTGACCTTGTTGGACAAACCCGTTAGCTTTTCTATGTGATATCAAATAGGTTCACACCTGTTCATAATCAATCAAGTTTTATCTGTAGGTATACAGTATCGAGAAAATGTCGTAATATATAAACTACGACAATCATTTTATAGTTTTAGAGGGGATAAAACAATACTAGCCAGATTATCGTGAAAACCAGATTAAAGTTAACAAGAGACTAGGATTAAATACGTTGACGAGACCCTGGGAAAGGCTCTCTTCTGATATATCTCACCCATTCACTCCCCGTGTATGTAAATCGTAGTAAATAAATAAAGGTTTTGTTACAAGTCTGAACGGAATAAGTTTGGGGCCAGACACACCTTAAAACCTTATTGAAAATGAAAATTGCCATTCTGTAATAGACTTGTACAAGAAAACTCTACATTTATGTTTCAGGTAGTGCCGAAAAAAGATACAAGAATTTCTTATTAGTTTTGGGATTTTTTGAAGGGGAGGAGGGGGGCATCTGGACGTGGAGCTAGCACTCTTTCAACTTATCAAGAAATGGATTCTTTAATCATTGAAACCGGCAAATATTTTTTAACTCCAAAGGATAGTGGTCACACATGTAATATCTATAACACAGACAACGAGATAACAATATAATGACCGTGACGCCACATTTGAAACGACCATTTACTATAGCATTTGTAACGTGTTATGCAATTTTAGTGGGAAAACTACAGTTTCCGTGACTTGACATTTCAATGAGATAACACGATACAGTCAGTAAAGCGACACTCCAGTGTGATAACACTTTAAGGTTAGTGATGTGACATTTCAGCACGAAAAAACTACGCTGCCAGTAAAATAACATTTCAGTGAGAAAACACTTTAAAGTCAGTGTTGTGACATTTCAGTGAGATAACACTTTAATGTCTGTCATTTGAAATTTCAGTAATATACCACTATAAAGTCAGTGTTGTGACATTTTTGTGGGATAACACTATAGCGTTAATGATGTGGCATTTCAGTGAGATATCACTATGATATCTGTAACATGACATTTCAGTGAGACAACACTATAAATTGACGTGACTATTCGCTATGATATGCCCAAAGGTTAAGAGCGAGATAGCTTCGACTTCGATTATTCGGACGTCACCTTAAACACTCAAAACATTGGGATACAACACGTATGTTGTATCTGTATATAAGAACACCAGTAAGGTAAGAGACATAGAAAGAAGGATCCCAACCCTGGTGACGGGTAGGGGGAGTCATCTCCTTCGCAAGTGGGTAGATCCCATATCACCGGAGTGATTAGTATCTTCATTCTGTTGACCTGATCAGATGTAAACCAATAGTAACATCACACTACTCGTCTGTGGTATCAGAATTGTATACAAAATGTTTCTTAATTCACTGTGAGTGTTGATCAGGGAAAACCAAGTCCCCCAATATTGTAGTATAACATACCAGGGGCTGTTGTTTACCCAACACTTGACGAGGTGCAGGCTTTATTTAAGTGAAATCAATTAAATGAAATCTACAACACCTGACCTACATTCTAACTAATGAATATTTTACTATTCAATAATCTATCATTTGATGGCAGTACAATATGTGTGATTCTCTCGAGGTTCCAGTACTACATTCTATTAGGCTTGGTTCTGTCATCAAAGAAGGGTGTCACATTAAGTCACGGAACAATGGAGGTCACATGGCGACGTGTGTATTTAATAAAGTTGTCACATAATGGTGGACAGGGAGGGGGTTTGGGGTGGGAAGGTCACGCGACAACATGTTTATTTCATTGAAATTAGTCCCACGAAAGAAGACGCAAGACGTTGTGTTTATCTAATGGAATTGTCACACAGTGTAGCCCATGTGACATGGATAAGAGGGATAAAGCGAATTAAGTCATTGGTCAAGTGTCATTAAACATGGTATAGGACAGTCAGAGACACGAGGAGGTGTTGGTTTCCTGACAATACTTGTTAACAAATTACGTCAAGTACATCGATTATACATTAAAAAAAACACCCATAAACACACGTGGATCATCATCATCATCATCATCATCATCACCACCACCACCACCACCACCACCATCATCATCATCATCATCATCATCATCACCACCACCACCACCACCACCACCACCACCACCACCATCATCATCATCATCATCATCATCATCATCATCATCATCATCATCATCATCGTCTTCATCATCATTATTGACAATAAATAAACGTTATTCCCGTATTATATAATACTCAACAGCTTTCTTTCATTCGAGGAGGAGTAGATTTCTGTAAAAATATTTGCATTATGTTGTAAGCTACACACCTACATAAGTTGTATTGAACGAAAAGAATGACTGATCACCAAGTTGAATGTTTACAAAATGATAATTATTGACTTTTCAATGGAAAGTTTGATTTGTACACGGACACCGTGGGGTGCGACTTTCTCTGTTGGTGATATTTAAGCTGTGGCGGTAACACCTTCTTTTTATTTGTTATATCTATCCCACCTCCTAGAGAAGTACTTCCTGCAACGAAAATCAGTAAGTAAACAAAACACAATGATAAAAGTCACGTTTTGTCATTCCACAAAATACACATAATTAGTTAGAAAGGAAAATAAAACTCCTAAATTGTATTTATTTTTCATACAAATAATTGTGATGTTTTGTTGATTTCAACAATGGAGTCTAGTGCTATAAATCAATAAGGTGGTAGACATCAAATCAATCCCGACAACAGCCTCCCCGGAAATGTAGAGTACAAAACATGTATACCAGGTCAGACATTCTGTGAAGAAGAATCTGCTACCCCCACCCCCCTTTTCTGTATATATATATCCATTGAAATAATTCGAGAATCTGGTTTACAGGCAGTAGATTTGTTGTCAATTTATTTCTAAAATTTCTCACTACTAGTCCTTGAGAAGAACATAAAATGCATACACAACACATGAATTCAAACACGTGTCAAGATCAAAAGTCTATCATTAAATATATGGAGAAATATGATATCAGTCTTATCAGAACACAACTCGTAATGTTGTTCTTTATTAATGTAATATATTGGAGTGTCCTTGAAATGCTACTAGATTGATAGATAGGTTTCGTTTTCTCATATCACCTGCTTTTACTGTGTTTTTATAAGGAAGCAATTTTATATAGGCATGCGTTATGTTTTAAAAACGTTCTTGTAATTATAAATATTTAGTTTTATGTTATTTTAGTGGTCCACAGAACTTTTATTTAATTTTCTATAATAAGATATCACGTGACACGTTTTTATGTTATTTTAGTGGTCCACAGAACTTTTATTTAATTTTTTATAATAAGATATCACGTGACACATTTTTATGTTATTTTAGTGGTCCACATAACTTTTATTCAATTTTCTATAATAAGATATCACGTGACACGTTTTTATGTTATTTTAGTGGTCCACAGAACATTTGTCTCATTTTCTATTATAGGATATCACGTGACACGTTTTTATGTTATTTTAGTGGTCCACAGAACATTTGTCTCATTTTCTATTATAGGATATCACGTGACACGTTTTATGTTATTTTTAGTGGTCTATTTTGGCAACTTTTTTTCACTTTGCTATAATTATATATCATGTGATGCATTTCTTATGCCATTTTTGTGGTCTACTAAAGTTCTTTGATATTTTTCTATAATCATATATCACGTGATTTATTTCGTTTGTTATTTTGTAGTCTACAACATTTCTATGATACTTTTCTATAATTAGATATTACGCGTTTACTTTGCTATACCATTATGTCACGTGGTTTAGGTGTAACGGCGATCCACGTGTTATGCGTGTACGTAATTTTAAACGAGTTTTATAAACATAATGTTATTGTCCTGTCACCACCTGATATTAAATTCCTACCTTTTACATTTAATCGATAATATAAACCAGATTACAGATAAATTCCGTTAGAGGTGTAAATGTTTAAACAAACACGACGTGATTAACTAAAAGGATCGTCCACATCTGCTCCGGATACAAACCATTTGTTATCTGTTTTAAATTAACGTTTAAAAGAAATAACAGATTATATTTACAATTCAATTATGAATTCTGATTTACAGCATACGGGTTGGGTTGAAAATATAGCCTGTTCACACCAAAAGTCCAATAGGGATTCGTTAAGGTCAAATGGTTACTGTGGGTGTTTTGACTGTGGAAACCAATACCGTGGTCCATATTAACACAGGGATATCGGACAGAAACACGTGTACCTGTAAATATGCATGGGTACCATGTGGACGAGTGGAAATTTA